TCTTTTTAGGAGAATTTCTTGTTTGAAATATTTTATTTTGAAAGGATTATGCGATTTTTGTCCAGTTATATTTCTGAATACTAATCACATATATTCAAGACCCAAATCAACCCCCGACTATTTCCCTTTAAAATGGTAATTTAAATCTTGTATTTATAGAGCACAATAGGCGTTATAATATGACTGGTGACTGATCGCCTTACACTACATACTTTCAGTGTTTCAAAACTGGTCTATCAACCATAAACATTTTGTCGAAGAAGCTCTAAGCTCAAACAGGTTTGAGTAAAATTAAGGGTTAAAATAGCCAGGACTACACAGGTATGGTGTTACAAGTATATTATTTCGAGATGTTCAGATGCAATTAAATGTAGCCAAGATGTACAATATGTTTGGGACGTTTGGCTTACGTATCTGAGGTTGTCCGAATTTCTAACTTCGTTATGAGAGTTTTGCAAACTCTTCGAGAGAAACACTATTGTTGTTTTGGCAGAGTATTATCATTCTTTCTAGAACACATGATACTACCCCCTTAAGAGATCCACAAGTATTCAGTTTAATTTACGGGATGTACTGTTTTCACCCGATTTTGGGTGAGATTTTCGGCTAATGGATATGTTATATGTTTGTATGGATTTTATTAATTCGATTTTTTTTTTATTTCAATTATCATAGTTATCAACTTTAGTCATACATAGCTTTTCTCCTTTTTTTCATCATTGAAAACGTCTGAATGACTTTGTCGAAATCAACATCTTTGGCAAAATTCCTTTCTATATTTATCAAAGATAAATTTGAGAGCCTGACTTCAGCCATTGTTGATCTCAGATAATTTTTTATTAGTTTCAATCTACTCAAGCTTCTCTCACTGGCAGCACTGGATACAGGGATTGTCAAAAATATTTTATACAAAATCGTCAAATTGGGAAAGGCAGTTTCCATAGTATTTTGTATAATGAAGGGTAAAACATCTTTGACTTTTAGAAGTACCGAAGAAGGGGGTGTAAATATATCTTCTAAAACTATTTTAAAATGTCTATATTCATCTATTAGTTCGGCAGTATTGACATCTTTACTATAAAACTTTCCAAGTTCAATCAATTTTGTTTCACTGTTTTTATCTGAGAAATAATTAGGATCTAAGGCAGAAAATTTATTAGCAATTACAGTAAAATCTGAGAATCGTTCATCCATCTGAAATG